TAGCTCCTCATGGCAGCCCAAATGTCAACCTTGCTCTCTCTCTGGTGCTCCTTTCCAGTTCTTATCCTAGGAAACTGTAGCTCATCTCCTCGTATGCTCCAGTACCACATTTGTGAGGGCTTGGTCAGTCACCCCAGGCTGCAATCCACTCCCTACCATGGCTCTCACAGCCCTTTATTCATATTTCACTCTTAGCCTTCATTGCATCAAATCATGGTGGTTTGTTAACATATTTGTTATTCCTTTTAGACCATGAGCTACTGAGAGAGAAGAGCATCTTTAGGTCTTCCATCTTTAGGTCTCGGGATCTCATCTAATATCTGATGTTGGGTGTGTGATGAAGTTAGAAGAGAGATGGGAGGCACTCAGTGCCTGAATTCTTGATGTAGTTTTTGATCTACATCTCTTCTCTGAATTGGATGTATGTTTAAAAGACCAAGCCAAGGGGTTCTTGAGATGCTCAGTCAGTTAAGTGTCTGTCTTTGGCTCAGGTCATGATCTCTGGGTCCTGGGATTGGCCCCACTCGGACACTTGGCTCAGCAGGGTGTATGCTTCTTACTCTCCCTCTGCCTCTCCCCCTGCTCATGTTCTCTGTCTCTCTCTGTATCAGAGAAATAAATAAAATCTTAAAAAAAAAAAAGACCAAGCCAAGAAACGGAAGTCCTGTGATCATTATTCATTTATTTGCTTGCTTTCTATCTCCCACATTAGTCCATTCCCTCATTTCTTTCATCTTTCTTCTCTTCTCATCCGTAGCAAGTAAAAATATTCACAGTCTAAAAAATAGAGCAAAGAGTTATAACTTATTCATGATTATAGGCAGGTATAAATATGTAACTGAATAAAAATTTAAATGAGGGAGCATAGAAAAATCTCCCATACAATACAATTCCAAATAATTTATGTAGATATTCTCCCCTCAGTTGGTGGAGCATGACTCCCTGCTCTGTAAGTATGGGCTAAATATGTTGACTTCCTTCAAAAGAAGACGATGTGGAAAGGGAGAAAAGAGAATAAGTTTACACTGGAGAAACCTGACAAATACTGCCTCTGCAACATGATCAAAGTCAACATCAACAATGAAGTCATGTTTATAGTATGTACCCTTGATATAAGGTGATGAGAATGACAGTTTACCTCTGCATCTTCCAGAAACCTGTAAACTCCTTGTCTAAGCATCAGACAAATTCAATTTGAAGGACATTCTACAAAACACCTCACCAGGACATCTCAAACTGCTACAGTTATGAAAAATAAGGAAAGTCTCGGAGCGCCTGGGTGGCTCAGTGGGTTAAAGCCTCTGCCTTCGGCTCAGGTCATGATCTCAGGGTCCTGGGATCGAGCCCCGCATTGGGCTCTCTGCTCAGCAAGGAGCTTGCTTCCCTTCCTCTCTCTCTGCCTGCCTCTCTGCCTACTTGTGATCTCTGTCTGTCAAATAGATAAATAAAATCTTTAAAAAAAATAAGGAAAGTCTAAGAAACTCACAGCCAAGAAGGACCTAAAGACACATGATGACTGAATGTAGTATGGTTTCTTTGATGGGATCCTTGAACAGAAAAAGGACATTAGGTAAAAAATAAGGTAATCTGAATAAAGTAGGAGCTTTAGTGAGTAATAACATGTTGAGGTTGGTGAATTAGTTATGACAAATGTACTATAGTCATATTAACCATGAGAGAACTTGAGTGCAGTGTACACATAGTGTACAGACATTCAGTCTTGGCTAAAGTAGATACTCCCCGCTCTGTTACTTCCTATTGCGTCACCGTGGTTACTGCCTTCACAGCAACTATTATTGTCTATCGTGTTCACTTTTATTTGTTTACTGTCTGCCTCTCCCATTAGATTTTAAACTTTGCAAAGGCAAAGGGCTTCTCTGTTCAGTCTGTTACATTCCCACTATGTTGGAATTTGTTACACATAGTAGATGTTCAATAAATAACTGTTGAATGAATGAAGGAAGGAATTATTGGGAATAGTTGTTACCAACTTGAAGGATCACTGCAACTGGAACAGAACAAACTCATTACTTTATGTTATAAATAAACACATTTCATACTTTTTATAAAAAAGAGTGGTAGTAGGGAAAGTACCTTGATCTAGGCTCAATTTCTCCCTCCCTCTCTCTCTACCTCTTGTCTTCCTCCCTCCCTCCATTCCTTCTCCCCTTCCTTCCTTCCTTCCTCTCTCTCTTCTTTCTTTCTTTCACGATTAAAAAGAAAAATTTCGGGCACCTGGGTGGCTCAGTGGGTTAAGCCGCTGCCTTCGGCTCAGGTCATGATCTCAGGGTACTGGGATCGAGTCCCGCATCGGGCTCTCTGCTCAGCAGGGAGCCTGCTTCCCTCTCTCTCTCTCTGCCTGCCTCTCTGCTTACTTGTGATCTGTGTCTGTCAAATAAATAAATAAAATCTTTAAAAAAAAAGAAAAGAAAAATTTCCCTAAGCATCCTGTGAAGGATACCCTGGAGTTTCTTCTTGGAAGGTGTGTAAATAAGGGCGCCAACATCCATTTGTTGTTCAGGCTGGGAAGTTCCTCACTTCATTTCTTGAGTCAACTGGAAGAAATACATATTATCACGGATGTGTACCATAGGAGACTCAAACTTTCTCCATTGAGATGTTGTCACTGAAGCAGAAGCACCTAGCTACGAAGCGTAAAGAAAGTCTCTGTGCATAACTGGGTCCTCCCCACTTCCTGGGATCACTGAAAGCAGGGATATGACACAGAGGCTGGAAAACCTGAAAGTCACAAAGGTATAGTTGGATGGTAGACCCTGGGTATAGTGTGTCATCCTACGTGTATCATGACGAGCAGTGGTGGACAACTAAGAAGGACAGTACTTTATATGGTCCATGTTAGTCTCTAAAGTACTTCTGTGCTCTGATTGATGGGTTCAATTTCTTCCATTAGATTATTTAATCTGTAGTTCTTTGGGTGATTTTTTTGATGTCCACCTTTTCAATATGGCAAGGTTTGTGAGATATTCGAAGACATGAGCTATTAGGCATGGTGTCTGCCATCAATGAGGTCAGTATCTGGCTTGGGAGACAAAATACAATGGCATGAAATGTGAGTAATGTACAATGCAAGACTGTCCCTCAAAAAGGATGTTATCATGGGGAAGGTAAGAATAGTCACACAGTGCTTTGCAATAGAGGCAAAAACTGAGCCAGCCCTGAATGCATGGCTGTAAATTAATGATTCATAAATTAATTCAGTATTTTTGAGATCTTTAGGCATCAGGGTAGCAGGGATAGTTTCTTCCTTCAGAGAGGTCACAGTGTCCTTGAGGGAGATAAATAAGGGCAGGTGTTACAGATGCTGTGATGGAGTTACACACAAGGTACGAGGTAACACGGGGGATGGTGTGGTCACTTGTCCTGGTGTGGGGGTGGGGTGGATGGTCAGGAAAGGCTATTTAAATGAAGTGTTGCTGAGCTGAATAGCTCAATAAAAAATACATCTATTTAAAAGATATGTAATAGAAAAGAATGGTGGTATATCACTTAGGGTTTTTGTTTGTTTGTTTGTTTTTTAAAGATTTTATTTATTTATTTGACAGAGATCACAAGTAGGCAGAGAAGCAGGCAGAGAGATAGGAGGAAGCAGGATCCCTGCTGAGCAGAGAGCCTGATGTGGGGCTCGATCCCAGGACCCTGAGATCATGACCTGAGCCGAAGGCAGAGGCTTTAACCCACTGAGCCACCCAGGCGCCCCTATCACTTAGGTTTTAACCATCCTCCTGATTTTAAATAGGAAAGATGGTATTCAGTGAAATAGGTGCTTTTCAATCCTGGAAAGGATGGAGAAGCAGGGCTAGGCTGTGACTCTAGGAGGACAGCACAGAACCGATCACAAGAGGAACAGCCTCATTAATCCATGAGAGTCTGGGAATCAAACAGTCACCACTGATGGGATTTTCGGCTTCAGAGCCACACCTCATCTGCTAGACTCCCAGGAGTAAACAGGTGCCTCATACTTCACGCACCTCTTTCTGTAGGTTACTCAGTTTTAATTCATGTCTTGAGGGAGTGCATCTGATTGGAGGAAACTAAATACATCCTACATTGCTAGGGAATCTGGGAGTTTGTAGATTTTTAGGTCCTCAAGAAGGACCTAAAGCACAGGAAGACTCACCAGATGGTGGATGAAACAGATTGTGGGCACACCTGGTTGCCAAATTCTCTGTGAGCTGCACACTGACCTCTAATGGCAAAGCCCTGGTACCCTGATGAGGAGGTCTGTCTAACCGGACTGGCAAATTAAAGGCCAGAAAGCCCACACCAATCAAACACATGGAGAAGTGTCAAGACTGCAATTTATAATTAACACACACACAGATACACAAACCCATAGCCAGTTACCTGCTGTTCTCAAGTCTATCGTGCTCATGTCTTTTTTTTTTTACATATTTATTTTTTATTGAGATATAGTTGACATATAACATATTAGTTTCAGGTATATGACATAGTGATTTGATATTTGTATATATTGCAAAATGATCATCACAACAAGTCTAGTTAGTATCTGTTACCACAGTTACAGTTTTTTTTTTCCTGTGGTGAGAACTTTTTTTTTTAAAGATTTTATTTATTTGTCAGAGAGAGAGAGAGGGAGAGAGAGCAAGCACAGTCAGACAGAATGGCAGGCAGAGGCAGAGGGAGAAGCAGGCTCCCTGCCGAGCAAGGACCCCGATGAGGGACTAGATCCCAGGATGCTGGGATCATGACCTGAGCCGAAGGCAGCTGCTTAACCAACTGAGCCACCCAGGCGTCCCTGTGGTGAGAACTTTTAAGATCTCCTCTCTTAGCGACTATAAAATGTACAATACAATATTGTTAACTATAAGTCCTATGACCTAGTACTTATTTATTTCATAACTGGAAGTTTGTACCTTTTGACCCCCTTCACCCTTTTTGCCCATCCGCCCCCGCCAATCCCCTACCTCTGGCAACCATGAATTTGTTCTCTGCATCTATGAGTTTGGGCTTTTGTTTTAAAAAATATGGAATGCTTCATGAATTTGCACATCATCCTTATGCAGGTACCATGCTAATCTCAGTATCGTTCTAGTTTTAGTACCTGTGTTGTGATGTGAACACTCATTTCTTTTCAAATAATGAGAAAGTCATATACCACATCTGACTTTCAAAAGACCTCAGAATGAAATCATTTTTGGGAGAGTGTGTTTCCCAAGTCAGAGGCCCACAGACCCCAGCACTCAGACTTTCTGTCCTACTTGGGAGAAGACAAGGGTACCTACTATCCCACTGGGTCATGCCCATGTTGTTCATTTCACTTGCTAACTGAGAATCAGCTAAAAATCTATTCCCGTGGGGTAAAAGCACCACAGAAGCCTGTCCAAGGTGAAGAGGAATGGCCTGAGCTTTGGAAGTGAACAGAACACAGGAGAATTAATGAATCAAAGTCAATGCTCTCAGATATCTTAGATATTAACAGTTTTAATCTTATTTTCTAGATATTGGGATGTGGGCTTGAAGGATGAAAGTGACTTTCCCAGCTTACTGTTCCTAGAAATCATGTTTCCATGTCTCTGAATCTCAGTCCCATGATGCGCCTTCCAGAAAAGCGTGGTAGACGCTCTGATGCTCTGTCCACTCTCCGTTGCCTGTTACAGTAGTCCATAATTCCTCCCATCTTTCACACCCCCACAGGTTCCTCAGACATCCTGCTTTCCTCTGTCAGCTCTATCCCCATGTCCTGATGGGGATTGGTTTTCCTAGTGTCTTCTGATTCATCATTTTTTTTTTTAAGATTTTATATATCTGAGAGAGAAAGAGAAAGAGAGAGAGCACAAGCAGGGGGAGGAGCAGAAGGAGAGGGAAAAGCAGGCTCCCCGCTGAGCAGGGAGCCCAATTGGGATCTCCATCCCAGGATCCCGGGATCATGACCTGAAGTGAAGGCAGACACTTAACTGACTGAGCCACCCAGGTGCCCCTCACCTTTTCTTCATTATCCTCTTTCCTCTCCTTCTAAACACTGCTATACTGTAAAAGGATGAAATAAACATGAGAGTCTTTTGGGGGATTTTCTTCTGGGTGTAATTGCAGGGTATGCCTGTCCCTTTGGCTCTTTATTTTTGGAATAAAGGGGAACAGGATCAATAACATCCACTCTGCAGCAAGTGAAAGTTACAAATTCTCAAAATTTTTCTATGAATGATGGCAGTTTAAAAATACCCTTGCTAAAATTGGGTTAAATATATCAAAGTATATGATCTTTTAATATGCAGTAATAGTAGCTACCCACTGCCTTCAGATGGATATTTTATAGTTCCCATTTGTATTTTTTTATTATCTGTAAGTCTTAGGGAACATTGGGCTTATAGAATATAAGAATATATTATATATAGATATAGATATAGAATCAAGTAAGGCATTAATAAATGACTAGTAGCAATAAATGTTTCAAAAAAAGTTTTTAATAAGAATATACATTTATCAGTAACATTAAAAAATTCTGAAAACCAGAAAAAAATTATCTCCAAAGGAAGTCCTGTTTAATTCCACAGATATTCATGGAGTACCACCACTGCTAAAGGAACAGCGAAGTATACAAATGGTAGAAAAAGGGTAGAACACAATCCTTTTATATAAAGAACATTCAATTTTTATGAGCAGCAAGACACTCTTCCTAGATGTAATTTATCTCCTGATAATAAATCAGGTGAGTCTAATAAATGTTAGCCGTGGCACTAGATGCTGGGAATTCAAGGATAAATTGCATATTCTCCACTCCCAAGGCACTCACAATGACTGAAATTTTTTCCATTCAGATGAAGACATAAATTTATAAACTACCAGTGGGTTTCAAAACAATAAGACAGCCATCTCAGTGCAAGTCCCTAGTAAAATTCTGGAAACACGTGATTGAACAGATAATTTATAGGCATTTTGGAAAGCGTGGTGATTACTAAGGAGATCCCATATGAAGTGACCCAAGATAAATCATGCCAAACGCACTTTATTTTTAAGATTTATTTATTTATTTGACAAACAGAGATCACAAGCAGGCAGAGAGGCAGGCAGAGAGAAAGAAGGGGGGGAAGCAGGCTCCCCGCTGAGCAGAGAGCCCATTGTGGGGCTCGATCCCAGGACCCCGGGACCATGACCTGAGCTGAAGGCAGATGCTTTAACCCACTGAGCCACCCAGGTGCCCCACACTTTACTTTTAAAATAAAGCTTTTCAGTGGTTAGATTTATATCACTATGGTAGTGTATTTTGATCATATGAGAAGATCTGATAGACTTTCCATGGTATTCTTGGAGAGATGGTTTATTACAGATTGGATGGTGAATTTTTTTTAAAAGATTTTATTTATTTATTTGACAGAAATCACAAGTAGGCAGAGAGAGGGAGAAGCAGGCTCCCTGCTGAGCAGAGAGCCCAAGGCAGGGCTTGATCCCAGGACCCTGAGATCATGACCTGAGCTGAAGGCAGAGGCCTAACCCTCTGAGCCACCCAGGCACCCTGAATTGGTTATTTTTTGATGCAAAATATACCATTTCAACCTTAATGACTTACAATATTTATCATTTTATTTGTCCATGTTTCTATGGGTCAGCATTTTAGCTAGTTCAGCTGGGTAGTTCTTTTGCTGGAATCACCAATGTGACTGCATCATCTGGTGGATCAGCTGGGGTTGGTCTAGGGAACCTTCTTGATAGCCAATCTCTAGGTGTTATCCTAGCTCCAACTTCATGTGGCAGTCGCTGGACAGCAAGAGGGGACAGATACCAAAAGAGTAAGTATAAGCTTCTGCTTGCAATATATTTGCTAATGTCCCATTGGCCAAAGCAAGTCACATAACCATGGGGGAAAGGGGCCACACAGAAGCATGGATCCACTGGAGGCGGTGGGGGGGTCATAATTGTGACAGTGTACCACCAGTGGTATTTACTGAGTATATTTCTAGCTGGCTGGACAACGATTCCCAAGTAGGAGGACTATAGATGTTCATTTGTATTTTGTTGTGGATATTGGTTAATGATTTGGACAAAGGAAATGAAATATGATTGTAATTTTGATCATGTCATAAAACTATGATGAATAAAATCCTGAAGATGACTGTGGCAGTTTGGATCACTTGGCCCAAACCAATTAAAAAAAAAACCCCAATATATCAGTGTTAGATGAAAAGTCCTACAGGGGCTTCTGGGTGGCACATTTGTTTAAGTGTCTAACTCTTGATTTCAGCTCAGGTCATTATCTCAGGGTGGTGAGATTGAGCCCCATGTTGGACTACTGAGCTGGGTGTGAAGCCTGCTTATGATTCTCTCTCTCCCTCTGCTCTTCCACCCCTACCCCCACTTACATGTGCATGCTCTCTCTCTCTCAAAAAAAAATGTCCTACATATATATTAGTAAAATAAATTGTGATCAGGCAAAATTGAAAGTCAAATGAAATGATACGGAGACTTTTATTTGATACCAAATTTATGAGAGGCTAAAATGATCAAGGTGAATTGATAGAAATGTAGTTCATAGGTCATGAAAAGTAACAGTTCCCCAGAACAAGATATTCCCACTGCATTGTGTTTATCTCTGGGTGAAAATTTGTAGAAGGATATGGAGCTAGGGAAAATTTAGAAGGTGACTGGTGTGCGAGCATTTAAATATGATCTCTTGGAGAGAAAACTGATGGAATATTTGCTCTAGAGAAAAGAAGACTAAAGACTTAAAGAAGATACAAAATCTGTTCTAGTACTTGGAAGAACTGTCAAGGAGAAGAAATCTCCAGAGGGCCAAAATAGGATCAGTGGGAGGAAATTGCCTGTAGATGGATTTTAGCTCAAACAAGTAGGTGGTATTTTGACAACCAGAGTTGTCCAACAAGGAATGTGGTGTCTTACAAGTGAATGATCTTTCTCCTTGGAAGCTCAAGCAGAGTCTGGAACACTGAGGTGATGTAGAAGGGATTCTTGGGGAATCAAGATTCAACACTTCTTTTCCTATATTTTCATTTGTTAAATTAAATAACATTTTCTCCATTACTATTACCCTTTTTATCGCTAGGGTGCTCTTTAAAAGTCACAAACACTGATTTTGTATCCTGCTACATTACTGAATGGCTGTATGAGTTCTAGTAGTTTGGGTGTGGAGTCTTTTGGGTTTTCCATATAAAGTATCATGTCATCTGTGAAGAGCAAAAGTTTGACTTCTTTGCCAATTTGAATACCTTTTATTTCTTTTTGTTGTCCGGTTGGTGTTGCTAGGACTTCTAGTACTATGTTGAGTACTAGACTAGGACTAGGACTTCTAGTACTATGTTCATAGTGGTGAGAGTGGACATCCTTGCCATGTTCCTGATCTCAGACAGCCTTCAAATTGAGAATGATATTTACTGTGGGTTTTTCATAGATAGATTTTATGAAGTTGAGGAATGTTCCCTCTATCTCTATACTTTGGAGAGTTTTGATCAGAAATGGATGCTATATTTTGTCAAATGATTTTCCTGCATCAATGAAGAGGACCATGTGGTTCTTCTCTCTTCTCTTATTGATTTGTTCTCTCAAATTGATTGATTTGCGAATGTTGAACAACATTTGCATCCCAGGGATAAATCCTACCTGGTTGTGGTGGATAATCTTTTTAATGTACTGTGGGATCCTATTAGCTAGGATCTTGTTGAGAATCTTGGCACCCATTTTCATCAAGGATATTGTCTGAAATTCTCTTTTTTGATAAGGCAAGGAAATAAAAGTGAAAATGAATTTTTGGGACTTCATTAAGATAAAAGGCTTCTGCACAACAAAGGAAACAGTCAACAAAACAAAGAGGCAATCCATGGAATGGGAGAAGATATTAGCAAATGACCCTACAAACAAAGGTCAATAAAGATCAATAAAGAACTCTTCAAACTCAATAAAGATCAATAAAGAACACTTCAAACTCAACACCCAAAAAACAGATAATCATGTCAAAAAATAGGCAGAAGACATGAACAGACATTTCTCCAAAGAAGACCTATGGATGACTAACAGACCATCATCCCTAGCCATCAGGGAAATTCAAATCAAAACCACATTGAGATATCACCTTACACCAGTTAGAATGGCCAAAATCAACAGGAGAGGAAACA